CTGGAGACAATTTGTGTTGGCCGTACTCGAAAAATTGGATTTTAAATTGTGTTTTTGGATATTCAGAAAAGTTGAATTTTGTGAGTAATTGTGTTGTTGGTGAATTTGTCGACAATAAGACAGTTTTGAGACTTTGGTGCCTCAAAATATTGAAAAAATATGTTGGGTCGGTTGATGTGTTGTAAAACGCCATTAAAATAGTTTTGAGTTGAACAAATTTACTCAAATTTTCTGCAAATGTTTGTATTTCACTTTTGAATATACGAATATAACGAACACGTTTTGGAAACCACTCTGTTTTAAATAGAGAAGTTATTGTTTCTGATGGGCAATTAACTTCGGAATTAAAAGTCTTTCGTCTGAACTCTATCAGAAAAGTGCCAAGAGTTTCCAAGAAACTCGGGTCGTTGTTAATTTCAAAGGGAAGATACAATGTTTCTAGTTTAGGAAATAAATCAATAATTTTGTGAATAGAAACAGTTTGTTGAAGACCAAACGGGTTGATGTACAAACTTTCTGTGACATTAAGAGTGGAATGATTAACACAAACAAATTTGCATATATCTGAAAGAGTTGGAAGGTATAAGACTACATTTCTTAGATAAAATGGTTCAAGACGGCTGAGTAATTTATGCATTATTTTAAATTTAAGTTCACGGTTATTTTTTTTTGTAAACAGCTTATTATTTATTACAATAAATGTTTTTTTATCGAATCCAAAAAATAAAATATTAATAAATTACCTGTATTATATACAACAATTTCGGTGTTAAATAATGATGTTTATATTTTTAAATATTTAATAATAATGATAATTAATGAAATAATTAAAATTTATTAATTTATATATTTCGATTGTTATAATATAGAATTAACTTTTTCAAAGACGGGAAATTTGAAATTTAAAAAAATAGAAATCTTAGTGAATATTAATGTAAATGTGACTTTTTTTAATTTATTTAAAACCAGACAAAATGGAAAAACGGTTCTAGTAAATATTTTAAGTAATTTTTTAAATTGAAAGTAAAAAAGGATATTTTTGTTGATTACAGTAAAACCTCCCAAGAGCGGGAGAGTGTGGTAATTTTGTTTCTCAAAAGGGAGCATTTTAACCAATTAAACCTAAAAAACCTTAGATAGAGAACTCTATTGTGTTTAAGTCTAAAAAATGTCCACTCTTGAAAGAACCCGCTCTTAAGAAATTTTATTGTATTAAGATTGCAAACAATAATATGAAAAATCAAAATATGAAAAACAATTTTTGATATACGTGATAAACTTATGTAGTTTGATACATACACAATGAACAAAAATTATAAATGGCTTGTACTGAAAAATTTCGATCTTTGATGAGAATGTACTTTAAATTTGTTATTAATTTATATAACAATCACAATCTGTTTTTAATATTAAAAATTAGTACTGTTATTATTTGCATTTTAAAAACATTTTAATATCAATATAATTATAAGTTTATACAAAAAACAATATAATTTTATTATTTTAAACTGTGTAAATTGAAAATTTTGACAAATTACTTTCAAATAGTATTATAATTTAAATTAACAATTTAATGAATAATAAAAATGTTATTAATTGATAATAAATTAAGTTAATAATTTTTCTCTTTAAAAATATAGAAGCTATTATATATAATACCACTTAACATATAAATTTACAAATGTTGACATTATAGAGATGATGTTGTCTGTGTTTACTTTAATTTAGTCATCATTTTGTTCATATTTCAAGGTATTCAAAGCATAATTTATGAAATCAAAACAATTTATTATATAATTGAAATTACTAAAAACATTATATATATTTTTTGTGGCACATGAGCAAATTTGATTAATGAAAAAGAAATATTACAACATAAATCCGAGTAATTTGCAAAGATGAATGGGCGTTTGTATACAGAAACTGGCACCTATATTGATTCTTAGCCTAATGTGTTAACGACATTTGCAATGGATTTGTACACCGAAAATGAAGTTGTTATTCCACAACCAATTTAAGAAAAATAACAGTGATCACACAAATAAAAACAATTGTCTTATCAACAAAACGATTTTTACTTGTTACAACTATTTAACAATTTATTGTCGTTTGTATTTTTATTATAAATAAAAAGTAATAGATATTTCAATATAATACTATCATTCAAACAAATAGGTTTGCTTAATACATTAACTGATACCATTTGGATACAACCAAGTTGATTATTTACAAAAGTTGTATTTTTAACAAAATATTATATTGTTTTTGTTTTTGCATATTTTGAATTGTAAATGAATTTTTTATTTTTGAACACAAATACAACGACTTAATATCAATTAAATAATGTTGATATACTTAATAATTATAATAATTCCAATTTATTAATTTAATTATAAACAAATGTCCAAGAATTCGATTATGCATTTCCAATTTGATTTGTTATTGGATTGCATGGCTCGGAGCGGTCTTCTCCTTCAACCATCTCTTCGCCTTAATTTAATTATAAACAAACAACTCTTTATTTTTATCAAATGAAACACATTATATAATTCAAAAATAAAATTGTTATTAGAAGTGAATTAGTTGGTCAACTTCACAATTGTGGGTGATGTCGTCTTCCTCTTTCCCAACCTCCAAATCTGCCAAAAAATGGTGGTGGAGGTGGGAAGCACATTTGATTGCATCCGTAAGGATTTAGTCCCATCATAGGAGGTGAAGGTGGGCAGCACCCATAATATGGTTGATGGAATGGTCTTATGCCAAAACCGCATCCCATTTGGTCATATCCAAATTGAGGTGGTGGGCAACACATGGGTGGTGGAGGTAGTCTGTTATACATTTGGTTCATCATATGCCATTTCCACATTCTCTTCATTTGTCGTCTCTTTTTGTCCATTGGACACTTCTCGTGTCTTCTTTTACACTTATCATCGTCTTTGTCACTTCCTTCGTCGACGTCTGAAGAATAAGACTGGTCTTTCTCAGTTTCGTATTTGATGTACTCGTCAAGTAAAGTCTGTTGTTCTGAAGTCAAAGTCTTCTTAAACTCAGCGAAGTCCGTTTCAAGTTTCTTTTCATTTTTAATGCGCTGTTTCTCGGCTTTTTGCTTTTCCTTGCGGCATTTTTGGTGTTCACATTTCTCCATTTTGTTTTATTGAATTCATTTATTCAAAAAGTTGTTTATATAATTGGCCAATCCGATTTCAGTCATAGTAATCCGCTTTTATTAAAATTGCTCAACAAATTATAATTTTTTAACATTATAAAACAGTGATTTTTTGGTTTAAAATGAGGTCATGTTGTGACTTTTTTGAAGTTTAGAATTTAAAAACAATTCGTAATATTCAAAATACAAATATTTAGTAGATAACCGTTCAATACTCAAAACATGATATTCGAAAAATATCAAACATGTGTGAATATATGTAGTAAATGTATCATTAACAATATCATTTATCTTATACCGTTAAAAAACAATTTAAAAAACAGTTTTTTGATATTTTTGGTATGTTATAAAAGAGTTGTTTTTTAATAACGAGCAAATATTAACAAACAAATTTAATTGAAATCAATGTATTCAATTAAGTAAAAATTAACGATATTATTAATAAATTAGCGTGTAAATTAAAAAATGTTAAATTAAAAAAATAATGATAATAAAAGTATCATAATTAACATATTGAATGATAAAAATAACGTAAAATAGGGTTGGACATTTTTATAGTAAATTTTGTGGCTGTTGGCAAAAATGTCCATTTTTTAACAAAAAATATTGTTTTTTTTTGGTGTTTTTTGTTTTTAATCTTATAATAACTTTTTTTTCAAAAAAGTTTGTTAAAAAATCGATACTATTTGTTGTACAAAAAGTTCATATTACAATTGATAAAATTTTTACAATTATATTACTTTAATAAATGGGATTTATAGTTTAAAAGAAAACTATACAATAATGGTTGGTATTTTTAAATCTTTTTGTTAATTAATGCGATTATTTGAGTCAAATGTTCGGGTAAAAACATCGTAATTTTATTATTTTATTATTTTTTGAATAATCAACTGAAGAATCAAAGCATCACAAGAGTTTTAAATGGGCTTTCAAAGCATAAATCTTGTTAAAAGATTATTTTAAAACGTTTTTATGTTGTATAAATCATATCTTGTTGATTATAATCATTTTCAAAACACATTTATTCAATTCAATTTTTATACCATATTACATGGTCTAGAATTTTTTGAATTTTTGCACCAAAATGTTTTTAGGCAAATTTCTATTAAACTCCCCTCATTGTGCCTCCTAATTATAGGTTAATAGTAAAAAAAATGGTTTCAATTTTATAAAATAATAGTTTGATTATTTATTATACACATAGTATAACAAATTATAAATCTTTATTATATATATTTTATAAATAATTAATAATTTAACTATAATTTATAGAACATTAATTGAAATTTGTATTAAAATTGTTAATTATATAAATTATATATAATAGTACAATTATTGTTATTATTTTTATAACAATTTTATAACATTTTAAAATCATTTAATTAAGATAAACAAATCATTTAAAATATTATTAATAACTATTAACAAATAGTAAAATATTTCGATTTGTTAAAAATAAAAAATATCTTGTCATTTATTTTTAGTTATTTGATTATTATTCATTATTATATTATTTTTTGTATTTTTATACTATCATTGTAACTAATTATTATTAATTATTAAACTAATTTATTATTTAAACTACAACATTGTATTACACTTTTTTGATTATTATATTAAAGAATGTCAAACTATATACACCGATGAAAAACTAATACAAACTAAACGCACCTTAAGAACAAATAAATTACTTGTTTAAAATTTTTAAAAAGCCTTTGAATTACAGTCTTATTTTAAACACAAATTATGGGTTTATTTTTACAGATTGTTTTAAATTATATAAAAAATAACAAAAAATTGTTGAATAATAACATAATCTACACCTAATATTCAATTAAATAACAAAGTATACATTGTTGTTATCCATACAATAAAACAGACACTCATATGCCATCTTCAGTAACATATTTTGAGAGCGCATAATTTTGAGTTTCGAGAAAAAACGTTCAACACTCACCGATGTTGGAAAGATGCAGACCAAACAGTGAACAACACTCTGAAGATTTACAAGGTTAAGTTGTTCAAGTGTGTCAAACAGTTCAAGCAAAGAAAGCCTCCTACAACGTTTTGTTTCTATTACCAACTTTTCGTGATATTCGTTTTCAGATTTCTTAATGTTCAATTTAAGTTTATTAATTTCTTCATCATTCATTAAACACATTGCATCGCTAAGTTTAGACAACTCTTCATCAAAAACGTCTCCAAACTGGTGTTTCTTAGAAAAATAATTTGGCTGGATTCCATTTACAATATCGTCTGGGCAATAAAACAGTTCAATAAGTTCGGAGTAGAACATAAAATTTGGATTGTCTTCATGAATCACTTGATCGACAATTCCGGTTTTCCAATTTACAAGTAAGTCGTTAATTGTGTTCATGTTTACTGATTGTGAAATTTGGTGAAATCTAAGTTGTAATTGGCATTTTAAACGATACAATACCCTCAACATGAACTCGTCGTTTCTTTCAATAATTCCTTTGATGTTTCTGAAGTGCTTCAAATTACCCGTTTCGACTTCTGTGATTAGACTGTCTACATGAATTTGAAACATTTCCATTCTTTCTATATACTCAAACAGAAGACAGTTGTCTTCTTGAAGAGAAGCAACAATCTCGAAAAGGTGTGAGAAAATTTCTCTACTTTTAAAAAACAGACTTTTTATACAAGGACGGTCCATTCTAAAACTCCTTTTTGTCTCCTCCAATTCCGCTATAAATATTTCTTCTAAATTTGTTTCAGCTTCTTCTGCGTTATCACTTCCACTTGCGCCTTCAAATCTATCACTTGTTTTTCTCGTGTTCTTTATTGCTTTTTTTCATTCCAAAACCGACACAATTATTATGTATGACATTTCTTTTATTTTCAAATTCTTCACACAATTCATCAAAAACGTGATTATTGACATAGTCAGCAACATCTTCATAATTGT